GGGACACCAGCCCAAGGTTTATGATTTAACTCATTACAGTGTTTTAGTCCGCCTAATAAACTAGAATTTTAAGGATCCTGAGTTGGACATTTGTAGCCAACACACACACCCCTCACCATACACATACCCACTTCACATACACAAGAGTATGTCAATAATAGGCAGAATATAATTAAGCAAGTTATGGTAATGTTAGATCGATGTTATAGCTGTGGCATTTCAGGAATCATGCAAGAGGCAATATCTTTTCTTGCTGGGGCCACCTGCCTGCTAGGACTGAGAACCAGCAGCCTTGCTTCACATGTGAGACAGAGTACCCTGAGAGGGTTGGAGCTGTGTGGGCTGGGATGGCCCTTCTGGGTAGGGGGAAATTCTGGGAAGGTTCTTAAGGGAATATGCCCCCATCTGGGGCTAGCTCTGGGACAGGTGCTGGGCAGGCTGGCAGCACCAAGGACCTGTATGCAAGGGCCTCCAGGACTGCAGAGCCGGGTCCCAGGAATTAACCCTCCAAGCCATCTGGGAGCTTTAAAAATCTCACCCCAGCCCCTGGGGAAGCGCTCTCAGGCCCTAGATCCCTCCCCCCACACCCCAATCTAGGTGTTCCTGAGGGCAAGCGTTCCCTGCTCAGCAGATGCAATTGCCCACACAGCCTTTACATTTCAGGAGCTAATTGATATGAACTGTGCCATCCCCCACCTGCAATTTGCCTTGATCAAAACCTGGCTTTGCCCACTCCCCGTGCTGCCCAGGGGGTGAGGCAGCTGGCCAAAGGAGCCTGCTGAAGGCAGATTATGGTGGTTAGTCAGCAGCAAATTACCAGCAGCTGGCAGAGGGACCAGCTTGTGGGGAGGATAGTCTGATACATAACTGCACAGTTGGCTGGGGAGTGGGGAGATCCCTGCACACTGAAAAATGAATTAATTTAGTACAATGCCTCTCACTTTGGACCTGGGAAGTCTTTTTGAGCTAGCCTGTTGGACCTGGGGAGTCCTGTGATCAGGAGGGGGCCATTTGCTCTGAAGGGCAAATGAAAGCACTCCAGGGTGCACTCTTGAGGTGCCCAAGAAGTTATTAATTCTTTGATGGACCCAGGGGCAGATTATGGGGTGACTGCACCGCTGTCAGTAAGTGTACCCTTTGGGTAGCCACAGGTAGCAAGGCACAGGGGAGCACCTATGCCAGGGCTGGGGGGTGGGGGGGGAATGCAAGACACTACAGTTTAGCACGGGGCAACTACAGCTTGCAGGATGGGGGCTGTTTCGGGAATGAGGGGATTACTGGTTTGCCTGCACCCCTTGCTGTAATTGAGTACCAGAGAGAGCAGTGGGGTGGCTCATTACATGGCACCGCTGCTGGAATTTACTGGGAATTGTGCACTGGGCTTAATTCAATTTAAAGGCCATCACTTGCAAACATTGATGCATCAATTTGAAACAAACCATTTTAAAATTTAATAAACCTATTTAATTTCATGAGGATTAAACCCTGTCATGTGTACAAGCGCCCTTGGTGGGGAATTGCAACCTGCCTCTCTGGATGAGTCACCAACAGCTCCATTCTACGACCTGCTCTGGCCCCTTTTCATCCTCCACTCCCTTTCCCTCCCTCCACACTTACCTGCTGGGCAGTGTCTGTGTGTAGGTCTGTCTGCCCCTTACTCTCAAGCCGCACCCCCTGCAGCCCTGCTGCTGCCCCTCACTCCTGACCCACAGTACCCCACATCCTTCCAGGGTATGTGGGAACCCCCCCCGACACTTTCACACACCCCACGCTCACCCCGCTACCATACAAAGTACCTGCATAATTTTGCATAACTTTGAGTTTTTCTGTGCATAATTTTGAGTTTTTAGCTGTGTGATTAAAATCATGATTAATCGTGACTAAATTTTTAATTGCGCGCCTAATTGTGATCAAATTTTGTAACCATTTGAGACCCTAGAAAGAATAAATAATCGTTTGAGAGCCCTAGAAAGAATAAATAATCGTTTAGCTGTATGAACTGCCACTGTCTGCACAGGGATGACCACAATAGATCAGAAACTGGGACCGCAGAAAACGTCCTTGGAAACATCGCTGTAGACTCCCCTTTGTCTTAGGAATGGGGAAATGTTATGAAGGAGCGCTGACTGTAGCAAGAATGAGAGCCCCCGAAGGACAAGACAGTTTCTGGATCCAGGATCTTTATTGGATTCTAACAAAACCAACACAAGCATACACCAGGTAAAGTGAAATGCTGGGGATGGAGACAGAAACCACCAGCTCTGTGGATGTGGAAGCACGTGACACTGCAAACACCCTGGGGATATGCAAGTACCAGGGACAGTACACTGCAGACTGGAAACTCCCCACGGGCTCCAAAGAGCAGTTTTGGGGGCCTCTTCTCCACCCAGAGAAGCAGAAAGGAACTGGTACCCAGGCCCCTCAGGAGCCCACAGCTCCCCATCCCCAGGGCCTGAGCCCCTCAGCCTTGCTGCTTTAAACTCCACTCCCACCTCTGAAGCCAAGTCCCCCCACAACGTCAGATCAAACATGGAGCAAACCCAGCTCCTACTCATCAGTCTCTCCTCACATATAGGAGATTGGCTCTGACCATCTTCACCCGACTTGTGCGCTGCTGCTGCTGGAGTCCCTGGCGGTGATGGCTGAGCAGATGGAAAGTGGCAGGTGCTTCCTGCTCCTCTCCCTTCTCCTCCAGGTAGTGGCAGGGCAGCCAGTGCAAGGAGATTTCTCACCAATTAAAAACAAGCCATTTCAGCTCCTCTATGACCAGACCAGGCTTTATTCCTTTTACAGCCTCCAGCTCTTGCTTGATTTCTGCATCTAGTTTGTGCAGGCTCAACCTTTGGGGGGTAAATGAGCAAAAAAAAGGAAGAAAGAAAGAAAAAAAGCATTACTTCTTTGCGGGTAATGCCATATAGAAGTCATGGACCCCAGGACACCACACACCACGGGGGTCTTTGCTGGGACAGACCTTGTCCTGCAGCAGCGCCTCAGAGCCCCAGCACAGAGCAGGCCCCCCTGGACAGGCCCTGCACACAGAGAACAAAAGTGCGGCCCTTGCTAATAAGAGCCCCCCCCTGCTGAAGCCCACAGTGTCTCTGTCATTCCCACCCATTCCTGCTGCTCCCACCACCACCAGCTGCTTTGCACTGAAAAGAAAGGGGAGGACAAAGACTGGGTTTTGGTCTGGAGCCTTTTCCTTCTGCCCACCCAACTGCCACGGTGAGCTCTGTTCAGAGCACAGCACGTGCAGGTGGGACCATGCAGCCCTTACCTGGTGCTGAGCCCTTCCCCATACAGTCTCACTAATCATCTCTGCGTGGAAGCAATATCATTTAAACTCTCACTGCTGTGTCCCAGTGCCAGCTTATGACATGCTGAGGCCCTAAACTATGTCCAGTTTAAAAAGGCCCATACAATAAAAATAATACTTATTCTCACAGAAAGGAGCTGAAAATATAAATATGAAAGCTTTATATATGCATCTATGCAAAGGTGAAGACACAAAGCAAAAATTATAATCTAATTAAAACACATGTCTTGCAGCATGCCTGTTTGCCATATAGATGTATATTTTTGTCATTTTAGAATGAACATGCTATATTTAGAGAGTCATTTTCCCATATCTCCTTTATTTACTAACTGATTATTATAAAACTTGATATTGAGTCAGGTTTTTTTTTTTCTTATTATTTAGAGTCCCCTTATGTTGTGAGGCCCTAAACTGCAGTTTAAGCCTAAATCCAGCACTGCTGTGTCCTACAGCACCTCCTCACAGGCTGCAGTAGCATGTTTCCCTACAGGCTGTTTCTAGCAGCTGTTGTGCTCCTGCAGCCTTGGGCAGAAACTGCCTCTGGATTGCAGATGGGGAGGTCAGGATCCATCCCAGCTACAAGCACGGCAGCAGCATTGATCTGATCCTTGTGCTTGTTGTACAGCCAGGTTGGGAGAATGAGATGCTGCCCCCCACCCAAAGCAAGCAAGCAGGAACCAGGTCTCTGAGTCAGAGTATGGGGCTCAGCAGTGTAACACCCACTGAGGGAGGTGCCCTTGCACCCAGGACATTTCAGATTAATGGAATTACCATCTTTATTCCAATCCAAGATGAGGCTGGCTTTTCTATTCATCATGGGGAAAAAAGCCCCGTCTGGGATCCAAGTAGAAGGTGGATGGGACAGAGTGGGGTGCAGGAGGTGGATGCTGTAGCTCCAACAGTGGCTTCAAGTCCAGGTCAAAGCCACAGTTATATCCACAGTAGCTGCCTACCCCCACTCCCTGCACCACCTGTGCCTGTGCCACCCCAACTCCCACCAACTACATTACTCTCAGGTGTTTCTCAATCTATTCCTTCCCAGGCCAAAAAGCACATGGAAACTTCAGCCCCTTCCCAGCAATGTGTAAGTATCCAGCAAGAGAAAGGGGCAAAGTGGTGCAGAGGCTGCAGAAATGGGCAGAGACTGGAGGACACAGGTGGGATCAGAGGCTGAAGAGGGCAGGTGGCAGGGGGTACAAGAAACAGGTAGATAAGTACCACAGAAGGCAGGTTCCAGGGGGCACAGATACAGGGGGTGACAGGAGGCAGGGGTAGGCAGTGCTGGCACTGTGGGGTGGTAGGGAGGATGCACAAGTGGGGGAGGAAGGGGTAAACCTGGCCCCCTCTGCATGCCCCCATGCTGCTTCTTTTCCCACTGTAGCCATTTGGGGGTGGGGGGAGGATTTAATATGACCCACCAATAATTAGTTTCTACACATGAAAAACCATAACTAATCAATTAAATTCCCATATATATAATCTAATTGTTGAGGGGTTGTCTTAAAGTTGAAGTCATCTAGGATTCAGGTAAATATGATGGATCCTCACATGCAAAACACCCACGATTGTGCTGTTAGAAACACTGGTCACAGATTGAATCCCTCAGCTCCCAGAGGGCCCATATCACAACAGCCCTGGGACAGCCACATCAACCCAGCAGGCATGATCTTCTGAGGAACCACTCATTCCCAAATCTTTCCCTTGAACATTTACAGTTGCAAAACCTCAGTCACTCTAAAATCTGCTCTGGTGTGTCCTCGAGTCCCATTTACAACACCACGGGGCTAACACCTGTGCAAAACTGTTGCTGAGAAAAAATTACAAAGAAAGTCAGGGAGAAAGGGAGCTTTAGAGTCTGGGAAAGAGGAGACTGAGGGAAGATTTGGTAACAATCTTCACCTACATTAGGGGTTCCCAGGTGGCAGATCAATGGGCCATAAGCAGTACAGGAAGGATTCAAATATGACCCATGGTGTTGCATGGCTCTGGAACCCAAGGGGTGATTGCCCCCACCACTCACTCCTGCATTGTTTGCGAAGTGCCAAATTTTGGGTCTTCAGTGGCTGCTTCAGTGGTTATTCAAGATCAGCAGCAGGGGAAAGGATGGGGTGGGGAGGCAAATCAGTGGCAATAATCAGCCCCTCAGTTCTGGAGCTGCTCTACCACAGCGGCTCTGGCAGCTGTGCTGATAACCTGCTGCTCCTCTGCCAGATGGGCTCATCCAGCCACTGAGAAGCTACAGTTTGGATACAGCCTGTGGGAAGTCAAAGGGTCCAGTTCCAACATATAACTTGGACAGCCCTGACATACATGATTGTAGGTGCAGAGGATCCTCTGTGTCTGCAAGGGATGGGGAAAGAAGGAACAGTCTTACATTACTTCAGAGGAGATCAGCCTTGGATATGAGAGTTTCTAACCATGACATTGCTTAGGCATTGGGACTTGCTAGATAGGCAGTGTGGAGAATCTCCGCCCTTGGATGGTTTTAAGAGTAGTTTGGATAAATATTTGGATGGGAAGATTAGGACAGGGATGATCCTGCCTTAAATTGGGGGTTGGATAAGATGTGACCACCTGAAGCCCGTGCATCCCGATATTCCTGTGACACCGTGAAGCCCTAAACATTTCATAATGTATTTGTTGTCAGATCCACAGAATTTCTTACTAGGGCTATGTGAAATTTCGCCCCCAGTTTTATTTCGACACTGTTTCGAGGTTGAAACAGCAAAATTGAAATGAAATAGATATGGCCAAAACAGCCTTGAAACGAAGCGAGGCAAGTCGAAATGTTTTGCTGTTTTGACGTTTTGTCCATAGGCTATAATGGGGAAGGTCAAAACAGCCTATGACTTTGTCATTTCTGGACAGATTTGGATAAAACTTACAGAAATGGTAGCCGCTTATGAGGGCATAAAGCGTGCCAAGTTTCAAGAAGATAGGTGCAGGGGGTTCAGAGAAACTGCACCCCAAAGTCTTGAGAGCCAAACTTGTGTCATGTGTATGTGTTAAGCCACAGTTAGGTCAAAACTGCAAGCATGCTAGCCCATACTGAGGCCAAAAAGCCTGCCAAGTTTCAAGGAGATAAGTGCAGGGGTTTGGGGGAAACTGCACCTCAAGCTGCAGACAAGCAAAACTCGTGACATGGGTGACACTGTGCGTGCTAAGGTGCAGCAGGGTGAAAGCTGCAGGGATGGTAGCCCCTGGTGCGGCCATGAAGCCTGCTAGCTGTCAAGGAGATTAGTGCAGGGGTTCTGGGGTCCTGCACCTGTGGCTGCTGACAGACAAAACTTGTGACATGGGTGCTTGTGCAACTGACTGTGTCTGTGTTGGGGCAGTTGATTGTCTGTATTGATTATTTCCTCTCCTTAGTCTGTCTGTGGTTTTGTAGGTGTTAATCCATGCTCATTATGTAGTAGCTAGGTACTATGTACTGAGCTGGTCCCTGAGTGAATCATTTTTGATTGGTAACGGGTAACACAGTAACTTAGCAGCCAGGCCTGAAGTAGTCTCCCCCTCACCCTGCTCCAGTGCCCCAAGACAGACACAGTTGCACAAGCACCCATGTCACAAGGTTTGCCTATCAGCAGCTAGGGGTGCAGGGCCCCAGAACCCCTGCACTTATCTCCTTGAAACTTGGCAGGGTTTGTGGCCTCAGGAGGGGCTACCACCCCTGTGGTTTTCAGGCCACTGCGCCTTAACACACAGTATCATCTATAGCATGAGTTTTGCCTGTCAGCAGCTTGAGGTGCAGTTCCCCACAAACCCTTGCACCTATCACCTTGAAATTTGGTAGGCTTTGTGGCCTCACCAGGGGCTACCATCCCTGTGGTTTTGACCTCACTGTGGCTTGACACATACACATGACACAAGTTTGGCTCTCAAGAATTTGGGGTGCAGTTTCTCTCAACTCCCTGCACCTATCTCCTTGAAACTTGGCATGTATCATGCCCTCAGAAGGGGATGCCATTTTTACAAGTTTCATCCAAATCAGGCTAGAAATGACAAAGTTATAGCCTGTTTCAACCTTCCCCATTATATCCTATGGGGCGAAACGTCGAAACAGGGTCAAAACGGCAAAACGTTTCAATGGAACGAAACAGAAAAGCCGTTTTGACTCGGAAAAAAAGTTGAAATGAAACACTGTTCTGTCAAAACATCAAAATGCTGATCGAAACGAAACACTTCCATTTTGCACAGCCCTACTTCTTACCACATCTTCCCATCTGACTTCCATCTATACTAGTCTTGTTTTTTCATTCAGTTGCTTCATGATTTTTAAATGCTTTTTATTTCCATTTTTAATTCTAGGACTTGGGGACATTTTAGCTTTTTAGTTATAGAAACTAGACACTAGGGAGGGTGTTTTGTACCCATCCAAAAACAGTGCCCCCCGTTCCAGATTTCCTTAACCCCATCCCAGATTTCATTAAAAATAATATGGTCACCCTACCCAACAGAGACCAAGCAGCACAGACCCAGGTGTGTGAAGTAAGCCTACCTATTCCACTATCCCCGAAAACTAGGAAGAAGATATTGCCTCATGTTGAATGTTTTCCACAGAGACTTAGCAAGTGCCCAGAGGAAGCCGCGTGCTCCTTACCCCAGTGTCTGTAACTTGCAGCTGGGATGTCTCAGTCCCTCGCACAGCAGCCGCACACCACCCGCTCCCAGACCAGTGTTATAACCCAGGTCCAGAAGTGTCAGGCTGGTGCTGAGAGCAGAGGCAAGATCCCCACAGGAGGCATCTGTGAGATCACAACCCCACAACCTGCAGGAGAGAGAAGGACACAGCACAGTGATCAAGGCAAAATAAGGTAATTGCAGATCCTTTCACAGGCAGCCCCATCCACCAGCCTCTCCTGAAGGACATTAACATGAAAGCCCTGCCTTAGGTCTGGTCCAAGTTTCAGGCCTTGCCCAATGACAAAACAGGAAGTTGGGAAAAATCAAGGCCCTGAGAGGGCATGGACTATATGAGCCTATTCCACAGCCCCTGTTGCTGTTTTAAATCAGGATGTTCTTGGTTTTTCATGGGCCAGCTGGGAGCCTGGATGTTGCTACTGACCCTTTGTATTCGGCCGTGGCCTCATGTGCAGCCTCCTGGAAATGGGTATGAGGCCTTTCCCAGCCACAGATTCACAATTTGGACTCATGCTCCTCATGCCCTACACAAGTCCATATGTTTCCCCCAGTACTACAGGTGTCCTGAAGCAGGGTCCTGCCCCCGTATGGAGCTTCCTGGAGTACAAGAGTGAGGCTGCCCCCCCCACTACAGGCACCATCTGCTCAACATGCCTCTTGCATGACCTCCCCTGTGATGGGCCAGTAGGGGTGCTCCTGCATCAAGTCACCCACCTAACTGTGCCTGATCACCTTCCAGGCTCTGACTGTCTCCCTTGGGGGCACCTCATGTCTGGCTGACCCCCTTCCTGGAGCACACCTGCAAGCCTGGGGGTAACGCCACCACCACTCAGCATCTGGACTGATCTTGGACCTGTGCATTCTGCGAAACACAGGCCTAATAGTCCTTGAGGGTACTTGACCCACTGCAAGAACTTGTGGTGCTTCCCTCAATCTGAAGCAGAAATAGTGGTCTCCTTTTGTCAGCCAGACCAAGGGGAGAAGCGGGCATAATCTAGACTGGGGTAGGCAACATTTTTTGGCTGGAGTGCCAAAAAAACACTGCAATGCCTACCTCCGAAGGTGCTGGAGTGTCGGCATGGCAGAAAAACAAAATGAGGGCATGGGGTACATTGCAGGATGGCCTGCTTGTGCCTGTTGCCCCCCACCCAAAGCCCCTAACCCCCCAGCCCTGCCGCCCTGTGCCCCCCAGCCCTACTGCCCCATGCCCTCCACCCCAAGTCCCTGCCCCCCAGCCCGGGCTCTGTGGCTGTCAGCAGCTACCCCAGCTCTGGGTAGCTGCTGGAGCCCAGGCTGCTCCCAGCAGGGCTTGCAGCATCCCAGCTGCCTGCTGGGAGCAGCCCAGGCTCCCGGCTGGCAGCAGCTACCCCGAGCCAGGGCCGGCTGCAGCCAGGAGGCTCCGAACAGCTGTGCCGGGCTCCAGGCTCTGGCATCAGCTCCACACTGGCACGTGCATCTGTGTGTCGGAGTGGGCGGTGAGGGAGGGGCTTGAGGCAGCGCAGCCCCAGTCTCTCCCCTGCTCCCGGCACAGAGTCTTAACTCTCAGCATTTCCCAGTACACCCTTGGCTTGGCACTGTTCTCCTCCTGCCTCCAGCCTCCATGCACTCCGAATCTACTCTCTTTCATCTGGTGGCCTGCTGCCCTGGCCAGGCTGGCCCAGCAGTTTCCAGACAGCCAGTCCTAGTTCTTACTGAGGGCAGGTGTGAGCAGCCCCGAGGTCCCCCAGGGATGCACGCCTCTGAAAGTCCCTAATGCTTGGCAGCCCCTGGCTCTGGGCAGAGCCCTCTGCCCTCTCGGCCCTGGGTCCAAGCCACCGCCCTTTTAGGGCTGTCTTGGGACCTGCCCCAGCCTCTGGTTCTGGCTGCACTAGTCTCCTGTCCCACAAGGTTTTTTCTGGGGCCTGTTCATATTGACCCTCCCTGTTGACCTCAGCCAGGCTGGGGACCCTCTCAGGGTCCCTTGGAACCTCCTCCATCCCCAAGAGTTCTTGCCCTATCCGTAGATGTTGCGGTGTCTCTCTGGAGCAATGGTATTCCTTATAGACTTCATAGATTTTCAGGGTCAGAAGGGACTTCAGCAGATCAAGTCCGACCCTCTGCCCTGGGCAG